CAAAGTGTTGTCAAGGCAGGATCTTTTTTGATGTCATGTTTCTGTAAAGCATTTGGGCATTTGCGGCCATTTGGATAGGTATAAGTGCATTGACGAAAATTACCAGATGGGTCGCACAAAATGTGGCGCATACAGTATTCGTGACCATCAACGCGTGGTATTGTGCATTCGTACGTGGAATTAGAGCACTGTTTTGCTTTGTTTTCGATTTCTTGATGCAAATGCTCACGCAATTCCTGCAGGCTACCGCCGAAACGCAAAAATTGACGCTGCCGCGAATGCGTGCAGCTGGTGGACATGTCAAAGTTGGGATACTTTAAAATGTTTGGAAGGCTTATGCTACTGGTTATTTTTCTGCACTTTTATTCAGTGATTAGGGTTTTTACCACAATATAACCAGTAAAGAACCTTCGGTGAATTTGGCGACTGCCTTCCTCGGGGATGAATATGCTAGGGATGAAATTATTGGTACACACGCCTTCCAAGCACGCAGGGTTGCTTTTAAGAAACACAAAATAATTAACTTCAAATAGTTTCAAAAAGTATAGTGTAAAACGAAATTTATTGAATAATTCCACATAAAATGGTATACATAAATGACTCATTTTCTAAACGATTTAAATAAAACGCATTTCATAACCTTTTTTGAGCAAACGACATTTGCGAATTGGTAGAACAGTACTACGGATTTTAAATTTTTGTTAACTATGAGGTGAATGAAAATTTTCAACCCGGCATGACGGTTTTGAAGATATTTTTGTTCTAATTTTATTACTAAGGCGTCTAATAAATGCATGACTTTTAGTTCTAGAAGAATAAAAGTCAGTAAAGACAAGTCTTTTTTGTATAATTTCTGATTTTAATTGCTCAAATTCTTTTGCACCAGAGCAACTGTCAAAAATTTCAGCAGTAAAAAGTTGCGAATTAGCACAGCAGAAATGTAAAATTTTCTCGCCATAATAAAAAGTTTTTTTCAACATGGAACTTTTCCAACTGATAAAAAAGAGAAAATTTGGAAAGACCGAACAAAAATTTCTCGTTGTGAATACGAATGCCATAGTTTTTACCTAGCTCGTGGGACTACGCAAACAGCTTGTAAATATGTATACACATAAAGTTGTTGGCGGTAATAAAGAGTCAAAATCAAAATGGGGAAAAGAACAAAAAGCGTACGTTAGTTGTCAGTTGGCAGCTCGCACGTTGTCTAAATTCTCAAGTAACATAAAATC